CTGGTGCACCACCCGGCGCCCAGCCCGGGTCATGTGCCCCACCAGCTGGCACCGAGTCCCGGCCAGCAGCCGGCGCCCCAGCTGGCGCCCAGCCCCGGGCACCTACAGCAGCAGGTGCTGAGTCCTAGCCAGCACGCGCTGCATTCCCCAGCGGCTGCGGCACGGGGGCTGCAGGCGTCCCCGGGCCTGGCGCCGACTTCTGCTCAACAACAACAACAACAGCAACAACAACAGCAGCAGCAGCTACATCAGCAGCAGCAGCAGCAGCAGCGGGCGGCGGCCGTGGCGGTGTCGTCCGCTGCGGCGCACGTCCAGTCGTACTACCCGCAGTATGGGTACAATCAGCAGCTGCTGGCCGCTCCGCAACACGGCTGGCTGGCCGCACAGGTAAGAATGAGTCCCAGTGTCTGACAGGCTGTTTTCCCTTTCTTTTCTTCTCTTTTTCGTTCATTTTTCTTTCTCGCTGTCTTTCGGTCTTCCTTTTTTCTTCTTTCATTTATTTCATGCTTGTTTTTTTCGATTTGCCTGTCTCTTTCTCCCTCAGTTTTTCTCTTTCACTTCGCTTCCCTCCCTCACAATCATTTTGTTCGTTGTTATTCTATCATTCCGCTTTTGTTTTTATTGACCGTATTTATGTCTTGGCAGACCGAGTGTTGTGTCTATCGACCTACAGAGTACCCTGGCCAAGTACCCTCTCTCTTGAGAGTTCCTGCTTTATTTTTTATATGATACTATGATTGGTTTCTCTCCGTGGCAGTTTCTGTTCCTCTAAGAGCAGTTATATTTCTACCGCTCTGCCTTTTTTTGTATTTCATGTACTACCCATGTTTTCCTTCCCTCGTCTCTAACCACCCCTATCCACCCCCAGGGCGGCCACGGCGGCGCGGCACCGGCCGGCTACAGCCACCGTCTCCAGCACACCGGAGGGTGTTACTACGGGGGAGGGGGCGGCGGCGGGGGCGCGGCGGCCGCCGCAGCCGGCGCCACCGCCGCAGCAGCCGCCGCCGCCGCCAGCTCGTGTAGCATCACCAAACTGCAGCAGCTTACCAATACCATCATGGATATAGCGCCCGGTGAGTAGCGTGCTTGGGGTAGATTGATACTGGGTGACATAAAACGGGACGAAATACCACGTGAAATGTTTTTTCAGAGGCTATTGCGTTTTGTGAACATTCATTAGCTACATAAATTTTGGCGACCAATGTGTTTTTCGTACCATCTCACCGTAGCATATTTCCGTCTGTGATCGAGCTTCAGACTAACTGATAAGAGACACTGCTGGCCAGTGTTATCTGCGATAGAGGCGTCTACGAGTGTGCTATCTAATCGAGTTTGTTTGATAGTCGATAAGTACTCTGCGTTTTCAGCGACGAGTGACCGAACTGCGTGTAAAGTAAATGTCCACTGAGGTGGGCTGGCAAATGTCCATACCGTTAACATTTAGGCTGAGTGCCCCTTCCAACGGTGGACACCTATCTTTGCGCAGGTATCATGACCATATTGTAACCAATGAGGTCTATTTGAGGTGCACAGCTCAGTTATAGCTAGAAGCAGGCTTTACTTTTCCCTGTGGACTGCAGAGAATGTTCGCACTGTCCACTGATCCACCCTAGTCCATCATCTGACCTCGCTCGTCTGTTCTCCGCAGGTAACACCACCACTCCCCCGCCCGCCACGCCGCCTCCCGCCTCGGTGGGCAGCCACAGTATGACTCCACCCCCTCCGCCGCCAAGACACGCCCACCTAGCCGCCTACTACGGCGCTAAACAACCCTCTGGTCACGAGCGACGGCGGCAGGCTCGCTCCTCTGGCTCAGGCGCGGCTCCGCCGGCTGCTGCTGCCCCGCCCCCGCAGCCGCCGCCGCCGCCACCGCCGGCCGCCGCGCCCGCCATGCCGCCAGCAGCTATGATGCCGTACCTGTCGCATCATCAGAATGGCTACCACAGGTGAGATAGAGTAACTAGAGAGATAGAAGAGCTTGAATGGTAATCTGTGGGTGGTTGTGTGGCCTATATCGAGGAATCGTATTGAGGCCTGTTAGAAGCTAGGGGAATGTTAAGTATCCTATATAACTGGGGTCTGTCTAGTGTCTCTTTATGAAATGTTGACCGCTGCTTTAAATGTTTTTTTTCTGAAGAAATAGTGCCAAACAATATAAGATTTGCTTTTTGTTGCATTTTCAATTAATTATCGAGGAAAAGGTCATTTGAAATTCTAACTACATATGTTTTTTTTCTGTCAGAGTTAAGCTTGCCAGTGAGCTGTTTGCTAAAATATTTAATATCCTCTCCACACAACCGTATTTATATAGTGTCAGAGCATATTCTCTGCCACCGGTCCAAGTTTGATATGTTCGTCATAACATAATATCGTCTGCTCTATGTTTGTTTGTCTGTGTTTGTCTGTTTGTCACCTCCACCAACCCCTGGTTATCTGTCTGTCTTTCAGGATGTCACCTCAGCAGATGGCCCCGCACATGGCGGACACTGACTTTTCTGATTGTCTGTGTGTCTGTACCTGACCTCTATCTATCTGTGTCTGTCCCTCAGGATGTCGCCGCAGCAGACGGCCCCATGACCGGCGGTTTGGTCACCACTAACTCCTGTATATCTATCTGTCTTTCTCAGGATGTCGCCGCAGCAAATGGCCCCGTACATGGCGGGTGGTTTCATGGGTGGTGGTATGATGGGCCATATGATGGCGGCCGGCCACCAGGGTCAGTACGGTACCCCGCACCCCCATCACCCGGCCGCTGCCGCCGCCCAACAGGAGGCCGCTCTGCAGAGAGGTGAGGACTGAAGAGGGGTAGAGGGGGTGGGTGGAGGAGATGGGATATGCGGGACAAGATATATGGGATAAATGGGGCAGATATTGGGATGAATGGGATGGAATGGGACAAACGGGACGGGGTAGATTGAGGGGAGGAAAAGATCGGGAGAGATGAGGTGGGATAGATGGGGTGGATGGGATAGAATGGACGAGATAATGGGAAAGATGGGATGTGACGGGAGACATGGGGTAGTCGGGACGGGATAGATGGGACGGAATTAGGGACGAGGGTCAGGTTTAGGACGAGTTAGTACTAATCGACTATCGTTGAGGTTACATGATGGGCAATGGGCATGGCATATGTTGATGGCTGTCGTCCCAACGGCAGTTTGTCCGCATGTGTCTGTTTGTTGGTAGGATATTATCAGCTCACCAACCATTTGACTGCTGCTATAGTCTGTTCCATATCAACTTTGCAGTCGGAGTTTCTTCGGCAGATCGCTCCTCCGCTCAAGAATTTTCGTCTTAAAATGTAATTTTCGTCTTAAAATGTAAGAGCTGTATATACAGAAATCACGCACTGCTTTCAGCAGGGCACTTCGGCTGCAAACTTGAAACGGAACAGAGTATAGCTATCTGGATTTATGTATGTCAACGTTATGTATTACCTTACGATCTAAAATATCAGACACTACAACTATTTAACCCTAGCAAAGCCAGCATATGACATTGTTACCGCAAACTGACTGACTGACCTACACTAGCACTATAAATGAAGAAGACCTTACTCTAGCACAGGGTATCCTAACGAGTCTGTATGTCTGTGTTTTCAGCGGGTCACCATCAGGGTAACATGTACCCGTACGGCTACGGTCTGGTACAGCAGCTAAACGGAGCCGGGGCTATGCGACGGTGACGGGACGCCCCGCCCCCGCCCCCGCCCCCGCCCCCGCCTCGGCCGAACCCCAAACGGCCGCCATTGTGATATAGACGCCGAGTTATGCAAACGGAGCGCAAAGGAACGATGTGGAACGTCCGGTCCGGAACGAAAACGTGCCTGGGACGTACCAGAACGAAAGGAAGTGCGGTGAAATAGGTGCCGTCCGGAACGAAACAAACCTACGAACGTACCTTACACCGGGACGGAATGGAAGAACAAAGAACGACATTGTGCCGAGAACGGAACGTAATGGAATAGTTCCTCGTTCTCGTACCGTACCGTTTAGTTTGTTGATTACGATAAGAAGCAGTATATGGAGCATAACTGTCCTTTCCGTGCCGGTCTATGAGTTGAGTTCCGTAGGTTCGTTTCTATAATGTACTCTGTGCAGTGCTGTCTGCTTGGTCGAGTTCCGTACGAAAGGATACGATGCGTTACGGCCCGTACGGTGTTATAAGGTGCATACGGCCCGTAGAATGCGTACGGTACGGTCCGTAGAGATCCCGTACGGTACGGCGCGTGTCTTGTTCTGCTGTGCACACGGTTGTGAGATGGATGGTTTGCTGTAGTGTGTTGTCTAGTAGGAAGACCAAGTAAACTCATGTACTTGTTGAACGATCACCTGGGCAATAAAATGTATCTCATGTCCGATATTGTGTTTGAATGAGGAGTCTTAGCTCGGTCTCGCTTTATTTGTGGAATAAGGAAAAACGCGGTCAGTGAGATGTCACTGAGGTGCAGTCCTCAGTGACATCTCAGTCCCTTGAAAGGGACTAGTCGATCATGGGCAGTCTCAGTGATTTAATACGACGAAACTTATTCGGTGTTTTCTAGGTGATCCCAGTAGCGATTATCCACTAATCGACCGTAATCGGAGAATACTGTGGGAGAAGATCGCTTGCAGACCGATACATGTACGACGTCGTGTATCAAAGACTTGTGGCACTGATAACCCACTTTACAAGCAGAACCGGCTGATTTCCGTTCAGTTACAGCAACACGATTCAGTATCGTTTCATTATTCTTCCGACTCGTATTGGATAGGTATTGGTTGGTAGGATACCTATATCCTACGGCTTCGGTAAGGTATTGGATGTAGAATGGCAGGATATACGAATATCCTACCGTTTCTCACTAAGTCTCAGTGCCGGTTAAACCCGGCTTGCTCTGCTCCCTTATCTACGCCGGGGGGGGGGGGGGGCTGGGCCGTTCCCCCTCCATTGCTGCTGTCGTGCAGATACGTTATCGGCCGGGCCCCCGGGCGAGGTTCACCGGGGCAACTGGCAACTCAGAGTGTCAGTTTCACATGGGGTCTGGTGAGGGGAGCGCGTTTTCGGAGAGGGAAACACTCCGCAGAAAGGTAACTGGTTGGCCTGGAAGTCGCTGTTTTGGGCGCTGTTAGTTGTGTTGTTGGCATATAAGAACTGGAGAGAGAACGGCGGATTTAAATATGTCAATTAGTTTTCGTTGCCTTTTTGTGCGATATAGTGACGACGTTCTGGTTTATATACAAGTTAGAGTGATAACAATTTCTTTGAATTAACTCAAAAAATGTTTACGAACGATCTTCACTTCTCAGCCATTACGAGCGGAGTCGTGTCTCGTGCTCTATGCAATATCCGCTTGAGTTGTACATGAACTCGCAGTTTGCACGTAAGTCCGGAGTGAATAATCATGACATCCTCAAAGACCTCGCCCAACAGTCAGTTGCTGGTTTTCTGCTTGTTTTGTAATTTTCTTACATTCGGGGCAGGGGCAATTCATAATTGTATGCAAGCACGAGAATCCGAGATATGAGAAGAACGCCGAAATCGTACCCAGCACCACTGTAAAAAAAGTTTAGCACCATAGAGGTACTTTTCAATTGACTAATTTTCAGTACCCTAGCGGTGCTAAGCTAAGCATTTTATTCGTACTTAACTGAGATCTGGTTTAGTATCAAGGTGCTAATATAAGTACCCATATTTGTTTAGCACCCGTGTACTAAATGTAGTACCCTACACCTGCTAGACCAATTTTCAGTACCCTAGCGGTGCTAAACTTTAAAAGGTGCTAAGAATAGCATGCAGTTAGTACCTTCCGTACTCACATATGAACCATTTTAGCGCTATTGTTACCCCACAACAAGTAGAATAATGCTAACGAAAGCATTGGGGCTGAAAGTAGAATATCTATACTAGTTAAAGCTGCTGCATGAAAAGTTCGCAAAAACTGCTTTCTTTAGCAGCACATACCTTCACTAGTTACTGCAAAAAGGACTAATCAATTACCATGAAGGAAATTGTGTAAGGCCGAAAAGACGTGCAAAAAAGGTTATATCCTAGATAAGTGATAACTACTTAAGTCTCAATGATTGTGTTTTGCATTCTGCAATATTCTCGTGTAAGTGCATCTTTCAAGCATCCAACACATTATAAAATTAAAAAATAATAATGGAACATTTATTAACACTTCATATCATCTGCATGAAAAACAAATGTAAATATATACACAAACAAACGCAAGGGAAATAACGGAAGGTCGCTCATATATCTGCACACTCGCAGTGACCGACGATTAACGCGAGATCGACTGGGGGAGGCGGGGGGGGGTCGTTGAACCGACTTTCTGTTCATGGCCATAAGTTCGACCTCATCCACGACCAGACGGCGTTTAGTGATAGACGGAACCGGAGACCCCGTGTTGTTGTCGTAGTTGTCCTCCATTGTAAGTGGTAGTCGACGGAAGAACTGACCAGGCCCCATGCCTGGAGCAAAAAAAAAAACTGGATCAGTTCCCATATTTTTTTTCTGTTGGGAGCTATTTTCGCAAACAACACAACTTTCCTTCAGACCAAGAAGCGCGATTTGCCAAAGTCGGAATATGAAGCACTTAAACAATATAAGATAATGTCAAAAGATACAACGTGTCAGACTCACCAAAGTCGATCAACGTCGGTGTCGGTGCATGTGTCGGTGGCAAATGCTCATGTACCACCCGGCCCCGGAGCACTTCACTTCACTTCACTGCACTGCTGCACTGCACTTCCCTCCACCTCACTGCCTCCCGGAGCAGGGGCACGCACTCCCATGCCACGCACGACGGATTCCACCGATAATAGCTGATTTAAGCTATCATTCCAGAGCTATCACTCGGTGGCATGTGCCCGGAGCACTTCACTTCACTTCATTTCACTTCATATACCGGAGCACGTGCACACACTCCCACCACGACCAACGGACTCCACTAAAATGGCGCAACACGTGGCCGGAAACAGCTGGCACGCGCATGCGCATATCGCTCTGCGCCGTCAAAACGTGCTAAAGGGCTGGTGATAAGACTCCCAGAGATTTGTAAAGCAGGGCTTAGCTACTTTCTTTGGCGCCAATTTCAAATTTGTTTCCTCTGTAAGCATGTCCGGTTCTATTGTGATACTAACGTAAGCACCATATTCAGCAATACCAACTTCTAAAACACTTAAAATGGTTCTAATTAGAAATCCAGCTTGAAAGAGCACTCACTGATGGACTGGGTACTAGCAGAAGTAGACGTTAAGCTCAGTAGAAGAATAGGTGATCTAAACTTATAATATTTGATGGGAATGTTAGCTATCATTAGCACAGTATTAGCACCATGCTTCTTTGTAAATACGTCGTAGGGTTCTTTTGACGCTAAAAGATGCTACGAATAGCAGCCGTTAGTACCCCAAATGCTAAACTTTTTTACAGTGTACAGACCCATGTCCCATTCCCTACACCGACCCCAGCTACAGATCCCAACATCTCGACTCCAACTCAGGGCATCGCTCCCAACTCTCGGCATAGGGATGGTTCAGTTCAATCAGCCGTCTTCACGACGGGTTTTAAGGCGAATGCACCAATTTTGACTAAATCTAAACAAGTCTCTTTTACAGCAAATATTAGTATATTCATATCATGATTTTATTACAATGGTTTAATAAAAAACTGTTGGATAATTTGATAATTCATGTATACCTATAAGCATCAAAACTGAAACCCTATTTAGGAAAACTTTGAAACTAATTTGTTCAAACTGCACGAGGCACCAAACGTGACCAAATGTGTGCAGGCTGATCTTCGTGAAAATGGCTATTACGGTCGTCACAAGTCGGATATGTTGGTTGACGAGTGGAACGGGCTTTGTCTGGCGATAAAGGCGCCTTTTCACTCATTCGCTCATTGTTTCACTCACTCATTCATTCATTCATTCATTCATTCATTCATTCATGCAATCGTCCTGTAGCAGAAGTCGTATTTCGGGTCAAAGGAAATGAGTGCACGGTGGACAGGACACCGATACTTCCTTTCCTGATACGTAAACACTGAATATAGTGGATACTGTGCTCATGTATTTACTGGCCTGGCGAGGCAGAGCATTCTGCACCGTAACGACATGGGGAGGTTCGGACAATTTAAGCTTTTCGTAAATGCCTCTGACATCCCTTATTGATCCTTCATCTTATTCACTGGTAAGGTTTTCAGGTTATATAACGTAATGTCAGGTCACCAGATCATTTCAAATGACCTCAACTAATAAATATAAATATAAAGACCCGATCTCATCCGTCTAATTATAGTTCAATATCCCTTCATCATCATTTTACACATGCGGCATCATTTTACGGGTGTCATGTATCCCTATAAATGAATTGAATTTCTTCTACCTAAACAGACACGCATGCCCATACAGCTTAGAATGACAGCATTGATCAGTACGTATACTGAACTGGACAGTGGACGTAGACGTAGTGGTCGTAGTGTAACACTGAACCTATATGTATAGTATTTCAATATGGCCAAGCCAAGACGGGACAGCCCAACTCTTACACCATACACTTTACAAGTGTTGCTGATGTCGACACAGCAATTGACAGGCGTATATCGACATTTGTCAGACAGAAGAGACATGTCTGGGTGGGATTCCCGCTTCTTTAGTCGATAAGGAGAATGCAGTCCGATATAGTAGATACTAGATAGCATTATTTGAAGTGGTCGGATATCCCAATGATACTTGTTGCACACCGCCTGAGCGTTATGAAACAGAGATGTACCATGTACCTACTGCAATATGTTGCCAGCCCCGTAGGGCAAACAGATACCTATTTAGCCGTTATCATGTCATTGCTTATCAGGCTGTTGCCGGGCTTAACTTGACTTTCAGATGGTGCTCCCTCCTGATCTAGGATACGTCTGTCTCCCTCAAAAGTGTGACTGTTAAGACTGCCTCCCTGGCCCTAAAAAAGAAAAGAAAGAGAATTGAACAATCATTTTCAGGCTGCTTAGTGGCTCGATTCATAAAATAATAACCTCCTTTTTGCATAGGAGGGAAAGTAAAAAAACGTGCTGCGAAAGGCGAAAGCACAGTTTTAATTGATGGTTTCTAAGTTCTTACGATGCCTTAGATATAACAATCATAAATAACACGAGGAGTCGACACACTTCTCGTGAAGATAAGCCGGCCCGGAGTACACGAGTGTACGGCGGCACAGCCTATCCGTCATACGCATTTCGCTTGATCGACGCGGGGCCTGTCCATAGAGACGTCCCAATCCATAGTGACGTGCTCACCAGGGACGTTGGCAGTGGACGCTATCTAGTATCTACGTCCAATGCGAGTAACAGTGTCCGTTATTGCTCTCCTCTCACATGCATTGCAGACAGAAGCGAATATATTCGGAGGATGTCAAATGCCCGTCATCTAACTCGAAATAAACTGAGTACCGGAAGCAGTAAAGGCGGAACCAGTCAAACGATGAAAGCTCAGGGACACAGCCAAGGGGGGAGGGCACGAGGGCCATGCCCCCCTGAAAGCGAAAAATAAAATAAAATTAAATAAAAGAATAAAAACAAATAAAAACAGCTGCGCCACACCCCCAAAAATAGTCGGCCAAATCCGAGGAGTTTTCGTTTTTGGAGGGGGTACGACACTAGGCCGCGACCTGTGGCCCCTCCCTGAGCAAAATCCTGGCCAGCGCCTGTGAAAGCTGGTTCGTGAAAATAAACATTTTCGTATGTGGGTAGATGTGCTTTTAGATTAGGCGTATCTCGTTCACAAAGCAGCAAAACCTCCTAACAAACCCTCACAAGATTTACGAATGTATAGGTACATCCTCACGTAACTTCCATGACATCTTTTTTATTTTAGCAGGCATCCACCCTTCCAAGAAACCATGGCCACCCCTGAAAGAACAGTCGTGGGCCTGCAAAAATCAGCCATTTTCCGCAAGCATAATTTTGTGGAGACCCGATACGCAAACCTCGGCACAGCAGGACAGACCAGTTACACTCGTCGACTAGCCTTCTGCAAGGTGGAGGGTCAGCGAAGACCAGGAATTATCTACATACCGGGATATTTCGCGCCGATGAACATTGCCAAGGCGAATATTTTGGAGGCTTTCTGCATCAGGACTGGACGACCGTTTGTAAAGTGAGTGAAAATAGTTTTTGACTTCGCAGTCCAGACTCAGCAATTGTAGGTGACCAATATCACGTAAACGGCCGATATATGAGTCAGTCTGATCTTGCAGCCAACGTACGGTCTAAGTGATCTCTGGTGAACTGATAATGTCAGAACGTTTTACGTAAAAAATCACCGTAAAGAGGACCCTATAGAAGCAGCACGCAAACAACCCGTGTTGGACTTTGTACATTATATGATCGTTAAACGGTGATCACTAAGCAGCTATCTGTGATTTGTATCATAAATACAAATCACAATACAAATAATACAAATAATACAATATAAATAGTATTATGATTTGTAGTATAGGTGCATATCTCCTTCCATCAGACTCTGTGCAGTAGCCCCTCGGATCCCTTCCATGACCCCTTTTATCCCTCATCACACCCAATGACCTCTTGGGACCCTCCCCTCAGAACCCTTATCAAACCCAGTATGAACGGGCTGCCCTTCGTAACAGGTACGATGCCGAAGGAGTCGGTCAGTCCGTCATCCCAGACGCAGAGGAGGTCTCCTTCACAAAGTGGTTCGAAGATGCGTGTTACGTGGTGGAACACCTGACAGATGGACCTCAAATGCTGGTGTCCTCCAGTAATGGAGGTTAGTGGATCGGTTGTGGAGGTCATCTGAGAAAGGTCCAGTGGAGGAGAGTTCATGGATGGATGATCCAATGTCTATGGTTGATGGTTCATACTTCATTGGCTGAGCTCCTTCAATGACTGGTGATTCATAGCTTATTTATGCTTATCTGTATGCATGAGCCATTTAATTAATGTAAAAGACGAAATCCAAATAATTTTTAGCGCTGCTTTGTGAACCACAAACACTTATTTTATTATGTATAGGCGACCGAAGTCTGGATCAATATCGGACCTCTTGGCTCTTTCGGACGGCTGAAAATTTGGACTTTCATTGACATTTAGTGCTGTTGTTCACTCCGCCCTATGTACCTCTATAGCGTGGATGGTGCCGCTAGTTTATTGTTCCTATCCTTCTTCCCTGCTGGCTATTGTTCGCTTGCTTGCTGTTTATTTATTGTCCCTTCCCCGCTGATATTGAGCATTTCCCTGCTGAGTATTGTCCCATTCCCTGGTAACTAACGTTTCCTTCCCTGCTTCTCTGCTGTCTACTGTTCCCTTCCCCCTTTGTCTGTTGCTCCATTCCCTGCTGACATACCGCTTCCTTCCCTTCTGACTGTTGCTCCCTTCCCTGCAGACTATTATTTCCCCTCTACCCCTCCCTACAGCATGGATGGCCCTGCTGATGGCCTCCAGATACCCGGATAGAATCCACAGCACGCTCATGATCGGTCCCGGCGTCAATCAGTGTATGGACGATGACATTTACGAGGGCATTCTAGCGTCACTGGACAAAGAGGTGAGAGAAAATGGATGGTTTGCCGTATATGCTGCTGTGAGACCCGGTTCATTTAAGAGAAAAAGAAATGTGTAAGTGAATGGATGCTTCCGAGTCTCGTCTTTATATTTTTTTTGTAGAAACAACTTTCAAGTTTCCAAAAAGTATTTACATTGGGTATAGTATAATCGTAGCTAAAACTCATGCCTATCTGACATTGCATCTAGTAAATCAGCTATAACCATGGCTGAATATTAGCATTGATGTCCGTATACAGATCACATACATTCGATGCACGTAACTACATATACGTCATGTACAGGTGCATTTATTATTACCATTCTGTCATCCACCCCCAGACGGCCGCACGGGTACGCGCCGGTAAACCGATGCGTTTCAAAGCCAACTGGGTGGGGGAGGTGACCGGATCAAAGAAGTTCCTGGATGAGATGAAGGCGTTCCGCATCACCAATGAACAGCTGCACAACATCAAGTGTCCCGTGCGGATTGTCCATGCCACTGATGTGAGTTTTACCGCTATAACATAGGCGTGGAGGGTATGCTGGTTGTATTTCAACGGTGACAGTCAGGGGCTGAGTGTTTATCTTTTATTTTGAGGTAATGGGCAGTGTTTCTAGAAGAGCCGTCAGTTTGGTTTCACCCCAACTTTTGACAGGGAAAACTGGTATCATCTTCTAAACCAAATTTAATTTCATGGCATATAGTGCTATTTGGATAGTTCGTGAATGCACCGAAGGAACAATGAAAGAGAGAAGAATGCAGGCAAATGATCAATAGACACATCAGATATGCGCAAACTGGCGTGCCACATGGGAGACTACGTTTTGTAAGGGCACAACAGTCAAGTCAGTGACATCATGTGTTACGTTCTTATCCAGGAAGCCATTGATGATGCTGCTTCCTCCCCTTCCAGGACTCGTCCGTTCTCTGGGACAACTCAGTACGCCTGATGGACATCATCGGTCACCAGGACGTGCGGATGTACCTGAAGAAGCGCGGTGACCACCGTATGCTGGCCGACGAGGATCTGCACCTGCTGCTGATTGCCGTGCTGGAGCTGCTGGATAGTTACCCGGTGCCTGATGGACCTCCTGCTCCTCCGAGTCCTCTGACGGTGTCGCTGAGAGAGCTGAGGGGGGCGGGGGTGATTGGAGAGAGCAGGGAGAGGGAGATGAGAGAGGAGGGAGTGGGCGGCGAGAGAGAGCAGAAGAGCAAGCTGTAGATCAAGCAAGCTGTAGATCAAGCAGGCTGTAGATCAAGCAAGCTGTAGATCAAGCAAGCTGTAGATCAAGCAAGCTGTAGATCAAGCAAGCTGTAGATCAAGCAAGCTGTAGATCAAGCAAGCTGTAGATCAAGCAAGCTGTAGATCAAGCAAGCTGTAGATGCAGCAAGCTCCTCTTTCACGTCTGTGTGAAAGGGGAGAAAAGCAAGCTATAGACGCAACTCCAGTGCAACTAATCATTGACGAGAGAAGGCCAAACACAAGATGTGCAAGGCTCGTCAATTGCTCGAGAAAGAAGTGAACACGGGTATGAACTTGAGTAGTGTCGTGAGTAGGAATGGGGACCGGACCGGTCTATGTGACTGCATTCAGCAGGCCGAGAGGACGTATCCAAGAGCCTGCTTGGCGAGAGCAGGCGGCACAATATTCGTAGGGGATCGATTGGATAAGTGCAGGCTGAAGTGCGGGAGTGAATAGGAAGAAGGGTGAAGAGATGAGTGACTGGATGTGCTGGCGAGTTAACCCGCGCCCTGGTGGGGTCTATTTATAACGCGACCTGGTGGGGGGGGGGGCTATTTTTTTGCCCCCCTCGTATCTCCGAAACTACTGGACGGATCCGCAAAATTCAAACGGCGTTCGAAAGGCCTGTCAAATTTGTCGAAGGAAACCAAATTTCATTGACCTCGGGGTCACCGATGACGTCACAGGTCAGGTCAAAGATGAAATGTTTCACCGTTCACGGGTCTTCTAGGGAATGCGCTATAACACCGAGGAAAACGCATTTTGTCGAGAATCAGCGATAGGGCGTCAGTTGCCTAGTAGATATGTTGCTATTAGAGGTCACTGACAATACCAGGTCACGTCACAGGTCAGGTCACCAAGGGTCACAGGTCAGGTCACATGAGTCCAACTTTACTAAGGTTGTGTGATGCATGTTTTATAGCCAATTTTTCATTTCCAACTCAATGGTGTTGGTTTTAAGACTATCAGGTACGGCTTAGGTCACTTTCTGGTGAAGTTCAGGTCAAGGTCAGGTCAAGGTCATGCCAAAAAGGTCAAATTTTAAAGTTGATAGTTTTGCATAAAATGGGTATTGATTCGATGCAGCTCGTCACGGGGAGTCTAATGGTGGTCTTTGTTTTGCGCTACGGGGTCTAGAATTGCTAAAAATTGAGTTTGAAAATTTGACGTCATCAATTTTGAACAGTTTTTTTCGCTATAACTTCGCCAAAAAAGAGGTATCAATCTAAAATTTGGTATGTGGATGGAAGGCGGTAAGGACTATCACATATATTCCGGTTTTTGCGAAATTCAAAAAACTTTTTGGATTTTTCGATCATTATATCCAAAAAAAATATTTTTTGATTTTTGGGGGTCAAACTCCAAAAATTTTAAAAATCCGAGATAGCAGTTTTGTAGCCCTGTCAATTCTACAACTTTTATGTCCTTATCATTTTTCTGTATTTGCAAAGCTATAGGCCTGACAGCTCTTCCCGCGAAACCCTTTTTTGGGTTGAAAACGGCAGAACATGACGTCACTCTGACGTCATTTTCGGCCAACCTATCATAGCCTTTGGAAAAATTTTTGGTCACCTTGTGTTAAATTGATGTCCGGGAGGGTACTGAAAGTTTGGTGACGATCGGCGCAGCGGTTCTGGAGATATATCGAAAAGTCTGGAGGGGGGCAAAAAATAGCCCCCCCCCCCCAACCAGGTCGCGGGTTAACATCACTGCGCTGGTCAGAGATGCCAGATGGAATGGGGGAGTGTTTTATGTGTATTGATGCGTACATATGTTGTAGAGTCAACCAGCCAGTTGTTCAGATGAGAACTACATACATACACAGAATGGAGAATGAAGCAAAGCGAAGAGTTCGGTAAAGACGGAGAAGGTGGTAATGCAGCGCTCAAGGGGTAGTGAATACGTGATAGAGTTGCTTCGTGTGTTCATGATCCAATGCAAATATATGCCGTGCAATAACTGTCGGTGTTAGTTATTAGCTCACCGGCCAACTATTCTGATGTTTAGGGTTAAACTATTTTGTGAATTAGTTACAGCTGCAGTAATCTATTGTCGTGTTGTGTTGGATTATGAGAAAATGTAATAATTGTCATGTTTCATGGGAAAACATGTGTACAGCAAATACATTATAAGATAAATACATTTATGCTCTGATATATGCTGGGTCGTTCCCCATATGGGTCGATAACATGTAAACGTGTTTCTCGCGATTCACACCCATCCGTTAGGCCACTTACATACTCCTTTACAGTGAAGGTGCATGTTCGTTACAATTGTTGGATTTCAATGTGGTATAGTAGATTTACCGAGACGGTGCAGCAGCAATGACGAAGCATATGGAATGCTAAGACGAAAACGTATATGTCAACTGCCATTCAAAGTTAAATGGATGCATGCAAGACGTGTGCTATTCTAAAAAAAAAAATGTCGAAGGCAGACGCATCACGCATGGTATTTCGTTAAGGAGACTGTGGCTCTCGGCATACCTGGTTTGTGCAGGCATATAAGATTAAAAAAGGTTCCCAGGAATATGCGTTTTATTTCACTCTGACAATCAGATACTCGTAGCATGAAAGTGAAGGCTTCATTATCTCAAATTTACAAGACGATTTCCGAAGATCTTTCTCAAAATACATATTCATGAGTTAACCTTCCAGGCGGTGGGGGGGGGGCATTTTTTTTGCCCCCCCCCCCCTTTAGTTTTTCGATATATCTCGAGAACCGCTGAGCCGATCGTCACCAAACTTTCAGTACCCTCCCGGGAGTAGCTAGCGCACATGGTGACCGAAAGTTTTTCCAAAGGCTATGATAGGTTGGCCGCTAATAACGTCAGAGTGACGTCATTTCTGCCATTTTCGACCCAAAAAAAGTTTCGCGGGAAGAGCTGTCAGGCCTACAGCTTTAGAGATACAGAAAAATGTTTCATCTATAAGGGGTGTAGATTTAGGAGGGCTACAAAACTGCTATCTCGGATTTTTGAGATTTTTAGATTTTGACCCCAAAAATCAAAAAATAGATTTTTTGAATATAATAGCAGAAAAATCCAAAAAGTGTTTTGAATTTCGAAAAAAACGGAAAATATGTGATAGTTCCTACCACATTCTATCTACATACCAAATTTGAGATCGATACCTCTTTTTTTGGCCAAGTTATAGCGAAAAAAACTGTTCAAAATTGATGACGTCAAATTTTCAAACTCAATTTTTTTGCAATTCTAGACCTCGTAGCGCAAAACAAAGACCATTACACTATGCAACAAAAAATGAAAAATTTTCTGTTCCTGGAAAGCGACCAAATTTTTCTTATTCATTGGGTCCTATTATAACCGAAATGGGCATTAGTTTTGATCTGAAAATGTTTTTTCCGGTTTTCAGAGACGATTTTCGATTTTTGGCCCCGAAATTCGGTTTTTGGCCCACCGTGTCCGATGTAATTGAGTAATCGACTTGCGGTAACTTTCATCGCCTTTCTTATGCCACGAGCTTTCGAATGATATCTGGTTTTGCATATTTGCGTGCAAAAATAACGTCATAAATCTATGTTAAAGTAAGAAAATGTTGAAATTTTGTAAAAAATTGACATTTTTTCGTTTTCATTTCAAAATAGAGGAAAAACTAAAGGCCCCATCCAAATTCTGAGCCCAGTTCCTTGAAGAGCATTCAATTTCCGTTCGGAAGGTACCTTTTTAGTGCATTTTATCGGATTCCTGTGGCGTCCAGATTGAGTTAACCTAAACACATATCCTAAGTCATATCACATAGCATTAACCTGATAACGTATGTTAACGCCATAGGATCAACGAGGGGTCAACTGAGGTCATTTTGTTGACCCCTTGTGACCTCGGGTCACACGCAGGAACTTACTTTTGAGCAGTCCTGTCGCCCAGAATCTTGATCTGTTGGGGGCCCGTTTTTCAAGTGACTCAATCTGGACGCCACAGTAAACCGATAAAATGCACTAAAATAGTACCTTCCGAACGGAAATTGAATGCTCTTCAAGGAACTGGGCTCAGAATTTGGATAGGGCCTTTAGTTTTTTCTCTATTTTGAAATGAAATCGAAAAAAATGTCAAATTTTTACAAAATTTCAATATTTTCTTACTTTAACATAGATTTATGACGTTATTTTTACACGCAAATATGCAAAACCGGATATCATTCGAAAGCTTGTGGCATAGGAAGGGCGATGAAAGTTACCGCGAGTCGATTACTCAATTACACCGGACACAGTGGGCCAAAAACCGAATTTCGGGGCCAAAAATCGAAAATCGTCTCTGAAAACCGGAAAAGCATTTTCAGATCAAAACAAATGCCCATTTCGGTTATAATGGGACCCAATGAGTCCAAAAAATCGGTCGTTACTCAGGAACAAAATGACTGTTGCATAGTGTTATTAGACTCCCCGTGACGAGCTGCATCGAATCAATACCCATTTTATGCAAAAATATCAACTTTGAAATTTGGCCTTTTTTGACCTGACCTTGACCTGACCTCCACCAGAAAGTGACCTAAACCGTACCTGATGGTCTTATAACCAACACCATTGAGTTGGAAATGAAAAACTAGCCATAAAACATGCATCGCACAACCTTAGTAAAGTTGGGTTCATGTGGTGACCCTTGGTGACCTTTGGTGACCTGACCTGTGACCTGACCTGGTATGACCAGTGACCTCTTATAGCAACATATGTACTAGACAACTGACGCCCTATCGCTGATTTTCGACAAAATGCGTTTTACTCGGTGTTATAGCGCTTTTTCCCTAGAAGCCCTGTGAACGGTGAAACATTTTATCTTTGACCTGACCTGTGACGTCATCGGTGACCCCGAGGTCAATGAAATTTGGTTTCCTTCGACAAATTTGACAGGGCTATCGAACGCCGTTTGAATTTTCCGTATCCGTCCAGTAGTTTCGGAGATACGGGGGGGGGGGGGGCAAAAAATGCCTCCCCCACCGCGCTGAAGGTGGCCGGGAGGCCCACCGCCTGCCGGGTTAATTTCATCGTTGGAAGCTGAGGGTTTTCACATACACATTCACAATCTTCAAATGACCATCGAACAGGGTTTTTGTTGCTGCCATGATTTATAAATACTTAGTCAAGTTTTATACTGCAAATTACGCCACCAATTACGCCAAATTTGCGCCAGCTTAACAGGTGTGTCACCATATCTAGATCTAGTACGCATACACTTAAAGGGACTATCCCACCTTTAACATGGGGTTTGAGTTGAGATAGCCAAGTTTGCGGCGAGGTTCAGAAACCACTATCTATCTAGGTTGCAAACCCCGCGGCCTCTTGGTGTTGAAGAAATTCGTTCCCTTCATTTGAAAATGGGCCTTGTACAAGGCCCTATCTTCAACATGGAGCGACCGTTAGTGTGACGTCACATCGTTTTTAGTCATTCTGATTTAAATGGGTTTGTTCGTTGAAAAAATCGCTTAAAACTTGGTCTGAACTTTGTTGTGGTGCCTACAGAGTAAAAAGAATCAGCTTTATGACAGTAATGTGGCCTGGGGAAGGAGGAAATTTTGGGCTATGACGTCACATATTTGAAAGTTTGTGTTTGGAATATGGGAAGCCTAAGATGTTTAATGAAAAATAAATGCCAGAACCGTGTTCCTGGTCATCCAATCTATAAAGTCGGGCACAATTTAACTGGTTTTAACAACATTTTAGAAGGTGGGATAGTCCCTTTAACACGATATTATATATCTACAAATATACCAAATACATTGCACTGAACCCATAATAAGGCTTCATTACAAGAAACCGAGCAACTCAGACTGGTAAATGGCACCAAAAAATGAACAAAATGGATACCTAAATAGGAGTACCAAACCAGTACAGCAAACCACTTTAACAGCATATTAACAGCATGTTCCTGGCATGCTAACTGCCTTTCAGGTCTGACGACCATGATAACAGTGACGCTCTTCAGTCAGGCAAGTCAGCCTATTAACATTGCATCATATAGGTACACTAACACTATACACGCTGGCTGCACCATCGCGCTCTGAGGTAACCTACCGAACAGCGGCATACTTAATCATATCTTCAGTGTACCTACAGTACACCTCTACCAACCTCTACCCGCACTGACCGCTACTATCCTCTATTGTAGCTTATCGAAATTCGACTCCAATGGTGACCTCTACAGAGCCCTACACTGCCTCAACCCTATCCTATAAAGTAACCAATCGAAATTCGACTCCAATAGGTGATCTCTACATGCATCTACATTGACTTCAACCCCATCCTCCAAAGGATCTATTGAGTTGCGACTCCATGGATGATCTTTACAGACTTCCATCGATCTTTCCACCGTCCTCCGGTGAAATCTACCGACACTCGGATGACCTCTACAGTCTGCTGGTGCCCGCCGGACCGTCCGGAACCGGGTAGTTTTCCAGCAGCTCCTCCACCGCCCTGATCTGCAGGTGCAGATCCTCGTCATCCAACATTCGGTGGTTGCCTCTCTTCTTGAGGTAGATGCGGACATCATCGTGTCCGATGGCTTCCATCAGTTGTATGGTGTTCTCCCAACGGGAGGAGGTGTCCTGAGAGAGAGAGAGAGAGAGAGAGAGAGAGAGAGAGAGAGAGAGAGAGAGAGAGAGAGAGAGAGAGATGGGAGTCAGTGTGAAACCAGGTCAGCGCGAAACCATGCGGTCACGTCTGGGGTTTTGGAGACCTTTGCTAATCTGTGTACAGGTAGAGGAGCAAAGATGTGTCATGCATGACATGTATGACATATCACATTTGACATATTCTAAATCTGTCATATATAGCACATATGACACATCATACATGACATATTCCCAGTGCGTGATATGACATCTGCGAATATACCATTCCTATCATACGAGTATGTGGAGTGTGGATATGGATGCATATCAGCCAACAGAACCATGCCCTTACCGATGTCATATGAACAATGAACATACGAGGGTATTTGCATGAAAAAGGTTATACATTTAGCGCCAGCTAGATGTTGAATTATCTTCGAAGATTGGCTCATTCAACTAGTGCAGCTAGGTAAAATTTGAAATAGACACCGTTTTTTGCGCTAACTGAACTGCAAGGCATGACATGTTTAGCTGTCCTGACACCCCACCAAACCTCCATGCAATATCTCAATCGGGCTCTTCCCAAGGCCTCCTTGAAAATAACTATTCAGCTATTCTACAGTCATGCCGTTTGGCCCTGATCCCCTCTACACTGAATGCCCAACTCACGTCGATTGCATGGACAATCCGCACGGGACAGCGGATACTGCCGAGCTGCTCTTCGTTCAGTCGCACCGCCTTCATTTCATCGAGAAAGTGTCTGGAGGCGGTTACTTCGCCCACCCAGTTAGCTTTGAAACGGATCGGTTTACCATCGCGTACCCGAGCTGCCGTCTGAGAGAGAGAGAGAGAGAGAGAGAGAGAGAGAGAGAGAGAGAGAGAGAGAGAGAGGGAGAGAGAGAGGGAGGGAGAGAGAGAGGGAGATAGAGAGAGAGAGAGAGAGAGAGAGAGAGAGAGAGAGAGAGAGAGAGAGAGAGAGAGAGAGAAAGAGAGATGGAAAAGCGGAGGTCAGCGCCTGTCATGCAATTCACGCAAATTGGTGATGCAAACTATACTAAGTGTTGTTAGTTGACAATGGCATTGATAAATCGATAAACTGCAAAATAACTTATTTGGCTTCGACATTAATCCCGCCTCGACCACAACTTTTAACCTCTTTCACTGACATCAGTGTCCACTGTCCAGCTTCGCCTCCTACCTCTTCGTCCAGCGAGGAGACGATGTTCTCGAAGACGTCATCATCGAGACACTGGTTTACGGCCGAACCAATCAGTAGCAGGCTGTGGACTCGCTCCGGATAATTTACAGCTAACAGAGTGGCCATCCACGCTGCAGAAAACGGCACGGCGTTATGGGAGTGAAATGCCTCAAAGGAAAAATAAATGAAAGGAAATAATCTATGAGCATCACGAATTGTGATGAAATAGGAAAATGAAATAATCTATGATCATCACGAATTGTCTGAAAAATTGATTATGGGCTGGTTAGGTTAGGTCAGGCCAGGCTAGGTTAAGCTAGTAACTGAAGAATATCATATACACTAGGCGAGCACGTTATACCGTAAAATGGGGTGTTAAGGGACAGTGGGGTGCTAAGGGACAGTTGCATGGGAAAAACTTTGAGTGATATTAACTTCCTAATTTGAGAAGGTTCAATAAAAATTTCAGTGTGGTAGTTGACACTGTTTTGTTCTTGACCATAGGACAAAATGGTATGGTTTTTCATGCAATTGATTTGGTTCAAAAATGGATTTGAAAATCATGCTATATTTTCACAAAATTGAAACATCTCCAAAACTTTGTGTGTACAACATAAACTAGTGGGTGTACAGGGAAAATGAATGCATAGGTGTATTATCACATGTATTGCACATGTTTCCTGAAAAACTTGTGCAAATCCACCTATTCATTCATCATCCTCTTCCTCTTTTCCGGATACATGCATATTTTGAGGTGGATGTGGGGTGCTAAGGGACAGGGAAGAAAAAATAAAAAATAATATCTAAATATAATTTCATTAAATTTTCTTTCAGTAGGCATGGAAAACACCAAATTCCACATAAAATGCTGGCAAGTTCATCCTTTTATCTCTAACACATCTTAAGTTATATAACAAAGCATCTCAACACTCTTTTACAATGATGGGTCAATGGAGACTGATGTAGGTAAATAAGATGTCATCATAAAAAGGCTAAAACAAAGGGGGCAACATAATGCCAAGTGACTAGCTTCAACACGGGTTTTTATTGATGACAGAAGGTACTTTTTGGTTCTGTTTACCTTATAATTAGCACATTTTCCAGAAGCGTAAACTGCATTACATGTAATTGGCTAAAAGGTCATTAGTGGTGAATGAACCAGACTTGTTTTGTGACAGAATATGCAAAACATTTCAATAAATAAATTGTGTGGCCTTCCACACCCCAATTGTGGGCATTTGATGACCATTTCTTGGATTACTATAGGTGTCCCTTAACACCCCACATTGGGGTGCTAAGGGACAGTGATGAAAAATAATAAAAAATAATATGCAGGTATAAATCTTAAAAACTTCAATGTGGCAGGCATGCAAAGCACCAAATTCCACACAAAATGCTGACAATTTGATGCTTCTATATCCAACCCTTCTTGAGTTATGTAACAAAACACCTCAAAACTGTCCCTTAACACCCCGTTTTACGGTATTTAATATTGTCTTAGCTGATAATTTTCATAGTTGCGTGTTGTTATGCAATATACTGTTTAATATTCCGATGCTTATTTTACATAGGTCATGACAATAAATACATTTCTAAGAAGTTTTGTGGAGCATTGACTTTGGTTCTTCAATCATAGCTTTTGACGTAATAAACACAAAATTTTCCAAGCTTTACTCAAGCTTGCGACTGAAACGAACAATCAATGACAATACGTTAATTGCAAATTAAGCTGGCACAAGGGTATGGGCCGGTGGTGCCTAGGCCGACATTGAGCTCTTCAAGGGCACGACTCTAAACGATCACGTCAAAACGTGGGCGTTTTGATATAACAACACATATACAGGCGAATTTACCTCCATTACTGGATGATATGATCATCTGGGGTCCATCGGTGAGATGTTCCATCACATAGCAGGCGTCTTCGTACCACTTTTTGAAACTCAACTGTGCTGAGTCGGGCATCTTGGACTGCCCGACACCTTCCGAGTCATACCTGAGAGAGAGAGAGAGAGAGAGAGAGAGAGAGAGAGAGAGAGAGAGAGAGAGAGAGAGAGAGAGAGAGAGAGAGAGTGAGAGAGTGAGAGAGGGAGAGAGAGAGAGAGAGAGAGAGAGAGAGAGAGTAAGAGAAATAAGAAATAGAAGGGAAAGAAAGAGAAATAGGCAGAGACAAAGAGAGAGGGAGATAAAGATAATTATCAGTTCGCTTCATTCAGAATCGTAGGCAGCTTACATCAGCATGAGGTAGGTATAAAGCAGTGTCAGGTCACTGCACTGATCGGCAGAATTATGTGACTAAACGGTGCTATTGGTGCGTGCACGTATCTACCTCATGAGGTAGATACGCCGGAGTCTGCAGAACCGTTTATCAGTGAGTTCATGATGACAAGACGTAGATGCCGGTGCGTCCGGTGCACGCGCACGGAACGAACCCTCTGACCTGCCTATATGGCCACCCCAGTGTGGTGTGGCCATATAGGCAGGTCAGAGGGTTCGTTCCGGCCAGAAGGCCGGATGGGTCTTCAGAACTAGCGGAGTTTGCCTGAAATGTCTCGTTACTGGAATAAATGTCTCGGTATCGGAATTCCACTACCTGGCAACTAACCCTATGTAAACACGGCTATTGTGAGCTATTTTTTAGGTTGTTGTGTAAAATTCGTCGGTTATGTATAAATCGAGCTTCTATCAAGCTGTCTAATTTTGTGCATTTCTCCCTCTGACAATTTCCCAATTACTGAGGTGTTCCCTTTCCTCCTTCCTTCAGCAACGGCAATTGCGCGAGCCTACCCCGCTCCCATTGACGCAGCTGGGGACACCGGGATTCAAACCTGGGTCCTCCCGAGCCTTGAACGAACGCCTTAACAAGTGCTTCACCAGGGCCGCAAAATAATTTCGACTTGATAGGCAAAAGCATGTGTCTTTATCGCAATATGAGACACATTGGTCATGAGTGGTACAATAAAAACTCGTATTTGTATTGAGAAAGAATCTTCTCAGCACTAGCCTACCAAACATTTGTATATTTGCTAAAAATCCTTCTATAAGACATGGTTTTCCAGGAGTTGCGTCATACCAGCATATGATTAAAACGAATAAAAACAGCTCAGGGGTGAACGTAAAAGTGGCGCCTACACAACCAGGTTAAAAATTGTCACGGTCTCATCTGACAGCAGCATATTACATCACGCGGCGAAGCGACGCCCGGAAGGAGCACGCTGGCTACGTTTCCATGACACAAGTCAAACCGATTTTGCAAAATGGATTTGCTTCATCATAGCATGAAGGCAACATTCAAAATTGTAAATATAGGAGTGCTAGCTAAAATCATATATATGCTCGTTTTTTTTTGCAGAAGGTGAATAGTACTCGAGAAAAACGCATGACGACAAATTTCTCTAAATCGATTTAGACATGTCCGACGTGTCATGGAAGCGTAAGTGAGTGTCTGCTGTCCTGTGACAGCCATTTTGTCTGACTGACAGACATCTTGTCAGTCTGAAAAAGAATGATCCACTTTAAAGATAACATTTTGAGCTGCGTTGGAAAATTTGTAGCTTGAGCTACAAATTAGCATTGAGAAGCGCTGACGGCCAGACGATATCATAGCAAAATACTTTAAGTGTCGAGTTAAGCTCCCAATGGGACCGTTTAAGACGAGGCGGAACACGATTCAAACGAATAAGGCCGCGAAATCGCCAAGTTAGCAGCATTGTTTGAAGTTAGTTAACTGTTCCTCTAGTTGCGTTCAATCCGTAACTCGTCAACATGAAGGAAATGGCTTTATATAATCGAGTGGTATGAATTCATAAACTTCATAAATATTGACTACCACATTTCAAGTAAATGTTTGATTTAAAATTTCATTTAAAAAGATCATTGCTAGCTTAGATGATTTTTCTAAATAGCATTATCCTTCCGCATTCCTCAATTGTATCATCGTTTTACGTTAAAATGTCTCCACTTACTTGACGAATGGATGACCGTGCATCGCACAGAACTCTTCCAGAATGTTGGCTTTGGCGATGTTCATTCGTGCAAAATATCCAGGCACATAGATCAGCCCCGGCCTATGCGGCCCCTCGATCTTGCAGTAGGCCAGGCGTCGAATGTAATCTCCATCTTCCGACCGTCCCAGGTCAGCAAACTGGGTCTCAACTAGATTATTTTTGCGGAAAATGCTCGACTTTTTGATGCCGCAGATGTGCTTGTTTCCGTCCATGGCTGTGGGTGGGCGAACGGAGACTGAGGACCGAACGTGATGTGGAGTCAAGCTATCAGATAACACCGGGCCAACCAGAGCATAGGAGCGCCGCCACTAGGCACACAATAGTGACTTGTCGGTTTTCATATTTTAAACATATGCAAGGATGCTGATTATTTAGGGACATATTTGTGTTATGAGGTTATCGGTGGAGCCAACAAATAACTAAATGCACTTACTTTTATTGACGTTTCGGTTTCAAGCAACCTTCGTCAGAATAGAATTACAAGTTACGTCTCATATTTCAAAAATGCACATATTTCAAACACACTGAGAACATAGCTATGTTCTCAGTGTGTTTGAAATATGTGCATTTTTGAAATATGAGACGTAACTTGTAATTCTTTTCTGACGAAGGTTGTTTGAAACCGAAACGTCAATAAAAGTAAGTGCATTTAGTTATTTGTTGGCTCCACCGATAACCTCATAACACAAATATGCAAGGATATTATTCTGGAAATTTTGCCTGGAATTTTCACTTATCACCATCTATGCAAAAAGTACTGACAAGGAAAAACGTTTCCTTTTTCGTAAAAACAGCCACCTTTGGTAATTTAGCGTCATGCTGAATAGAGATAACCACGCCATCCCGCGTCCTGTATGCCAAATCATTTCATGATATGGACGACACGTGCGAACTTTGTCCCAGACAAATCGTCACGCCACCTCTCAGATAACCGCTACCACGCAGGGACACCGTGCGTCTGCAGAGGCGTATCCAGAAAGGCGATCTAGAACGCTGAGGGGCATGCCTGAAAATCTCAAAATTCTGTATGAAAAATATAATCGGATTTCGATTCAATACCAGTGCCGTGCAATTTAAAGCAAGCTGCTCCTGATAAAAGTTTGATAAATTATTTCCATTCTTTGAAAAAAAAAAATCATCGGTTTCGGGTACTGCAAGGGAGCGTTTTCCTCAATTCGCCCCCACTCCCTCCCCACTCCTGGATCGGCCAGAACGGGTCTGTTACCCGCTGATACGCCCGGGTGTTATCTATACTGTGCTGCTCGAATACAAGGCCGATGCCATAGCATATGCGTTAGGTAATGAAGGTATGTCTTCGAGACTGTGTGCGGCTGTGTAGGGAGGCTGTCTTTAACCTTCCAGGCGGTGGGGGGGGGGGCAATTTTTTGCCCCCCCTTTACTTTTTTCGATATATCTCGAGAACCGCTGCGCCGATCGTCACCAAACTTTCAGTACCCTCCCGGGAGCAGCTAGCGCACATGGTGACCAAAAATTTTTCCAAAGGCTATGATAGGTTGGCCGCTAATGACGTAAGAGTGACGTCATTTTTGCCATTTTCGACCCAAAAAAAGGTTTCGCGGGAAGAGCTGTCAGGCCTACAGCTTTAGAGATACAGAAAAATGTTTTAGACATAAAAGGTGTGGAATCAAAAGGGCTACAAAACTGTTATTTCGGTTTTTCGAATTTTTTGGATTTTGACCCCCAAAAATCAAAAAATAGATTTTTTGAATATAATAGCCAAAAAATCCAAAAAGTTTTTTGAATTTCGAAAAAACCGGAATATATGTGATAGTCCCTACCGCCTTCTATCTACATACCAAATTTGAGATCGATACCTCGTTTTTTGGCCAAGTTATAGCGAAAAAACTGTTCAAAATTGATGACGTCAAATTTTCAAACTCAATTTTTAGCAATTCTAGACCTCGTAGCGCAAAACAAAGACCACCATTAGACTCCCCGTGACGAGCTGCATCGAATCGATACCCATTTTCTGCAAAAATATCAACTTTGAAATTTGACCTTTTTTGACCTGACCTTGACCTGACCTCCACCAGAAAGTGACCTAAACCGTACCTGATGGTCTTATAACCAACACCATTGAGTTGGAAATGAAAAACTGGCCATAAAACATGCATCACATAACCTTAGTAAAGTTGGGCTCATGTGGTGACCCTTGGTGACCTTTGGTGACCTGACCTGTGACCTGACCTGGTATGACCAGTGACCTCTAATAGCAACATATGTACTAGACAACTGACGCCTTATCGCTGATTTTCGACAAAATGCGTTTTACTCGGTGTTATAGCGCTTTCTTTCCCTAGAAGCCCTGTGAACGGTGAAACATTTTATCTTTGACCTGACCTGTGACGTCATCGGTGACCCCGAGGTCAATGAAATTTGGTTTCCCTCGACAAATTTGACAGGGCTATCGAACGCCGTTTGAATTTTTCGGATCCGTCTAGTAGTTTTGGAGATACGGGGGGGGGGGGCAAAAAAGTGCCCCCCCCCCCCCCACCGCGTGGAAGGTGGCTGGTGGGCCCACCGCCTGCCGGGTTAACACTGCTGCATGGATGTTTGTGGGGATGTTTTAGGGGAGGGACTGTCTGGGAGCGGAAACAGTAGGTGAAGAAGGAGCAAAGATAGTCGACAGAATTTCAGTAAGAGGGTGAGTTTTTTGTTTTGGGGTTGGTCTTTGAGTCTTTCGGTCTAATGAGACTCTCAGAGCCGGAAGGATGATGGGAATTAGGTGGAGACATTGGTCTGGGCAGGCACCCTGGTGAGTCGCCGGGGCTGAGCCCGTCCGAAAGGACAGGCCGACCCGCCCCTGACACTCACCGCACCCGGCAACGGGCGTGCTCCTACAGGAGCTTCCCGCATGGGAGAAAGTTGCCCGTCCAGCCGGGAACAGGGGGTGGAGGCGTGGAGGAGAAGGATTTGACTGTCCTGAGGATGGGAAGCGACGGACCGCTTAGAGGGCGACAGGATTTCGGGAAGGAAAAACGTGACGCAGACACACCTACCATTGAGAATCCACGTGCCTGTCGAGATGAAGATAAGGAATGGGACAAACCGTGAAAACTGAGGTCTCCTCCATAAAAACTTATACTCGACCTTCAAAAGTCAAAACTAGTGATGATCTGTTAAGTTCGGAGTGTTGTAAGAAAAGACTATAATTAGATGATCTGTCGTCTGTGGATAAATTCTCCCTCGCACACTGCACTCCTCCGCTGAAATAAACTATACATTCCCGTCAATCTTCAATGCAACTGCCCGAACCAGTCGGACTGTCAGTTCATTAGTCACGTAATCCTAATGAGCCGTCAACAATTCGTTCGTATTCGTATCGATACAACTCTACCCCGTGCGCCTGGAGTGATGCTGTGCCGCAATGATCGAAATATTCACATCTTACCGATAGATGGCAGCAGCAAAACGCCTGCAATGATACTGCGCCGCAATGCCCTATATGTAAGCCCATTACGAAACGTAGATAAAGAAATATAGGTATAGGTATGGATAACATTCGGCAGCTGTCTGTCGTGGCTGTCTTCGAGACTGTGGCTGTCTGGGTGGGTCACGGCAGGGGGGGGGGGGGGGCTGGGGAAGCTGTCTGGGAGCGAAAACGGTCCATATCCAAAACAGCTACTAAAAGGCAATATGGTAAGCTAAAGAGAGTGAGCTTGACAGAGGGCCATCCACTGCATCGATTCATCTGTTCAAGTTTTTTATGTTTCACCTTAGCCTACGTTCCATTCTTTACAACTGCCTTCATTCTGAAGACAAACTCATAAAATACATGATGACATAAACTGTCTTGCCAAGAGTCAAGACACTTACCGTCAGTGCATTTTGTAGGCAGAGTGACAATAAAAATTTCCCACGATGGCCCCCAGAGAGAAACGGTCTTCCACTGTCGTGTCGACGGAAATCCCCAGCGCTTATTTGATAGTGGCCAAGTCGACCTTCATTCGATTGGCAAGGTACTTACATAGATCTCGCTGACGCCTGGTAGTTGTCCGGCGTGATTCAATGTATCGCATGATATTTCGATATTTTGTGAATGTCTAGTGATTATAAGCACTAATGGATATTTAGTGCTTATCAATTAACACTAATCGATAAGTGCTAACGTATGAGTTGATTCAGTGATCAAACTGACTGTGACTGTTGTTTGTTGATGAAAACAGACAGGTTGACAGTAGGTATAAAGACTGCAAAGACCTTTCGTTAATCGCTACTCTAAATCGTCATTTATCGTAAATCGTTAATCGTTACTCGTTGAATCGTTATGAAGTTAAAATTAGACACATTAATGGCCCGACGTTTCGCTGTGTTCGCTTTCTCAAGGGCGACAAACGTTCAAAAATATAGCAACATCTTCACAGGCTCGCACATTTATCATGCAACCGGAAGCATGACAAATGCGAGAACCTGTGAAAATGTTGTTGTGTTTCTTACTGCTTGTCGCCCTGGAGAAAGCAAATACAGCGAAATGCCTGGCGATTAATGTGTTTATTTTAAATTGATAACGATTTAACGATTAACGATTAACGATTTACGATAAATGAGATGCGTTCGCTGCTGGCAACAGATCACAGAAGCAACAACTGGGAAAAGCCTATCGCTCATCATAGTTGTTTTAGGCCAAGACACTCCAATCTATACTACTATTTGAACAGGATCCATCTGTTTGTTTGTTTGTTTGTCTGTCCGCCACGCCGTGTAGTGGGTTCAATTTAGCCGGCCTACAGGGCAGACGGTACGGCGCAGGGGGTTGAAATTTGCACACCTTATAGGTGACAGAACGGGTCAGCGCCTTTTCTAGGTTTCGGCTCGCTGGGGTGCACGGTTCGCGCGTGGGGCGCGCTGGAAGATCGCCAATGAAATTTTGATCGGTTCGTAGATCTTCATTGAGAGCTGGGGTCGACAAACTTTGTAAACTAAATGCATGCCGATCGGTGGCGGGTGCCTCGCATTGGCGGATGGTGAAATTGATTTTGATAAATGGTGGCGAAAATATGTGTTGATTTTCGTTCAATGGAAACAGTTTGTGATACACGTATAAAAATGCACCGCGTTTGCCGCAATGCGCCACATCTGTCCCAAGGCGTCATTTTTTGCCGCAAATCGCACAGTTTTGTCAAATATAGTCCGATATGGGTGTAATTTGGTGCCAGGATGCATATTCAGCCAACAGGTACAGATGCGCCGCATTTACCGCAATGC